GGACAAGCGCCGGCCGAGAGGAAGAGTCAGACACGATTCTGAAAAAAAACGAGAAAAAAAATGTGTCGTCGTATATCTCGGACATTTTAAAACCATTCAAGGTTTGTTTAATGTAGGGTTTTCATAGAAAATTTTTGAAATTCAGAACAAGAAGTGAGCAAAATAAAAAACGCTAACTCACCAAAGTACACCAATATACTGTACTTTTAACAATTGGCGCGCGTTTCGCTAACGATGTTAGCAACATCATCATTTAGTTTTAATCATCTGCTTGCTGATGGTCAGCGAAACGCGCTTCTAGTGTTAAAAATAAAGTGTTTTGGTGTATTGTGATGAATAGTGTTTTTATTTGCTGTTGTAACACCAAAGGTTCTATCACAGTTTAAAGAATATTATATGTATATATTCTTTAAACTGTGGTTCTATATATTATGTACCTTAAAGAGGAAACGCATTTAAAGATAGTTGAAAGAGTAGTCCTTTGCTTTTGTGAGTAATACAAATAACGTCAAAATTGGTTTTCGTCAAAATATCGTTTTGGCCTCAAATTCAAAAAATTTCCATACCGTTTTAGAGTAATTAAAAAAATAATTAATTAATTTTTTAAATTAAAAATTAATTAACTATTTTTTTAAATTAATTAAAATTAGTAAATAATTTTTTAATTAATTAAAAATTGGTTAATTATTTTTAATTAATTAAAAATTAATTAATCGTTTTTAATTAATTAATTATTTTAATTAAATTAAAACTTAATTAATTATTTTTAATTAATTAAAAATTAATTAATTACTTTTTATTTAATTAAAAAATATCTAATTGGATTTTTCCTAAAAATCAAAACCGTTTCTATGGCAATATAATTTCGTTCATTCTCTGATAGATTGTTATTGATAGAATTCTAATTAACGTCTTATTTCTGCTGTTTTAAGCCGACATAAAATGTCTTCTGTCGTTTCTTCTCCAGATACAAAATCTGCACATGGCTTCGTCCGTTAAATAATTCCATTTTGACCCTTAGAATACGGTTGCCAACTTTCAAAACAAAAAATAGAGGACGATAGGGTTTAAAAAAGAGGCACAGGCGAAACATTTTTTGAAACTTAGCCTAAATGTCTAGAATTTACCAAAAAGTTATGCCAACAGTACGCGATTGAAGATCTTTCTTGCAAATATTTATACTCAAAACTTATTAAAATAAGACAAACAACTTTAACAAAACTTTTTTTTTCAAAACATAAGTTAACAGTAAGTAAACAGAAAATAGTTAAACATGTTCATCGCTTCCACAAATATTTCTTGTACATAAATATTTCTTCAATTTATTTTCAGTACAAACGAGTGGGCAAAAGACATAGATTAACAGTTTTTTAAAGCATTGTGGCGATACACGAATATTTTTTAAATTTTGAGTTTGGTATGTAAAAATTGGCGCCGAGAGGCACGTATAGCCGCCCATACTAAAATATGTTAATAATCAATTATCTGAAAAACTGCGACTTTGACTGATTTTGATGTTATTACAAAATCTGTTGCAAATATTATTCCTAATCTTAAATTGAAAACCGCGTTTCGCTAGCTACTGTAATTTTGGAGTTACGATTTTTTAAAATTTTTAACCCCCTTCCATACCCCCTTACCAACACCCCACCCCCACCAAAAACTAATGGCCAGATTCTCGGGTGCCACAGTATTTTTGTGCCAAATTTGGTTAAAATCGGTTTAGCGGTTTTTGAGTTATCGTGTTACAGACGGACAGACAGACAGACAAACGGACAGATAGACAGACAGACAGACACCATGAAAATATTTTGTGTTTAGGTCATTTATGACCCAAATAACTCACTTTGAGTGAAATTAAAAAAACTTTTTTTTGCCGACCTTAATAGCCTACCATACCTGTTGGTATGGTCGGCTAAAAAAGAGGACTTTTTCAATACGTGAGAAAAAAGGACAGTGAGATCAAAAAGAGAACTGTCCTCTGGAATAGAGGTCACAACCCTAACTTAGAATAATCCTAAAATTGTAATGTATAAACTGAAGTTTGTTCCTTATCGTCTACCGATGTTTGCCTTTTGAACTGAGATTCATATTACCCCTTTTCCATGCTCCGATTTTACACAAAATTCTTAAAAAAAATTTAAAATGTAATATACCAAATACCCTGCGAATGCGATAAATTTTACATTGGTGAAACATCTAGACCCTTAAATGTTAGAATTAAAGAACATAAAGATTATTTAAGAAAGGGAGATTTTCACAAATCTAAGATTTGTCAGCATTCATGGGACACAGGGCACAGAATAAATTTTAATAACGCCAAAATTATAATGAAAGAAGCGATAGCCTCTAAAAGAAAAATAAAAGACGCCTTTTTAATTCAATCTAATAAAAATAAATGTATTGCTCATGCATCTGTAGATGTTAGTAATGTATGGCAATCGCTTCTTTGATTTTAAAGAACATTACATAAATAAACATAACATACGTGAAATTTAAAAATAATCATACAGAAAGTTTGGGCTTTTTGATTTTACCATATTAAGTAATTATCAGGTAGTAATTGTTAATTTTGAAGTTTAACTTAATATAATGTCATTTTAACAGAACGTCAACGATTTCTTGTAGACGTATCTGTTTTAAAAAGTAAAGTGTTCTCGAATAGTTCAATTTAAATATTTTAAATAGTTTTTTTCTTGATTCTTTATATTTTTTTGCTTCCGACGACGGAAAGAGAAAACTTTCCGAAACGTTAAGCATTTTTTTCTTTGTCAGGCAAATTTTTATTACTGCAAACACAACTTCTGACAAGCAGCGTCCGTTTAGGTTTAACGCAGAAGTGTTTACAAAAAATAACTATTTTATTTTGTAGATTTTTCTTGCAGTGCAGTGGCGAAAAACCCATAAGGATTTTTTTGGATAGATGAATCCGCCACATAGGTATAGACATTTTTTACAAAATTCTTCACATCACCTTTTTTTATTTCTCGACATTGAGAGCAACCACTCGATGTGGGTGTACATTCAGGTAGGGAAAAATCAGTGGGGAGCCGCTGGCCGTTGCCCAATGGCGTACGGTCGCACTTTTCCCATTTTTAACGCATTATTAATAATAATGACGTGACAAAGCGTGGCGTCAAGATCCTTGCCAGATTGGATCGGACAAATTGATATCTCGTGCAAAAGCGACAGCTAAATTAGTACTACTTTCTCTGCCTGGCTGACTGCTCCAAGCGCATACAGGGTGGTCCAAATTCATATCTCGATATTAAAAAAACGTGATATTATTTGCCCATTTCTTTTTATCTATTTCATTTTGACAATTATTACTATTAACTACACTCACAGCAACGAAAAACGGGCACATTAAGATTTTGATGTATTTTTTAAGTTTAATATATTTTGTTCTAGTGGGCCGATTTTGATGATTTTTTAAGAAATAGGTAGCTAAATTATTTGACTTTTTAGTATCTCTTTCTAAATTAAAAATGAAAGTTGCCATCTGTCAATTATACGGGGAAAACAAAATGTTGATATTTTGGTGGAAGTTTGAAACACCCTTTGGAATATGTTAAGACAGCAAAAAATGTAAAAAGTATTTTATCATCTAGGTACATCCTTTCTCGGTAGTTTGCTTTTTAATTCATCTCAATAGCTTTATTTTTGTTGGAGATATTCGCTTTCGAAGAAGACACCAATATTTTTTCGTAATTTTTATATTAAAACCTATGATTAAAACCATACCTTTGTTTTTTTAACCAAAAATGAAATATCGAGAAAAGATGCACCTTTTTTAACATATTCCACAGGGTGTTACCAATGTGTTACCAACTTTTACCAAAATATCAACATTTTGTGTTGCCTCGTATAATTTTTTACGATAAAAACGTTTTTTCTACGACTAGCCTAAAAAACTCGTTCGAAAACTTTTGTACACTCGTTCGACTTGTGGGTCTTGCCTGCGGCTCGAGCCAACAAACTGTCGAACTCGTGTGCAGAACGTCGTTTTCGAAACTCGTTGTTTAATATACTATTTTTTTTTTGTAAAATGCCACCAGTCAACAATGCAGTCCAGACTTTTTTACTCCCAAAGAAATAGTATCTTACCCTAAAATTTACCAATTGATTAACAAAAATATCAACACATGATCAGCGACACTGATCTTGGTCTTGGTTTCTGTATAACAATCAACGACACCAAGACTAGCGTTATTAGATTTGCAAGACTCACGCATTTTATCATATTCTTTATTTACATCTCATTTTTCATAGATAATTAAAACAAAAATAACATATAATATACCCAATATTGCTAACAAAATCTATCAAAAAAAAATTAAAAACATAGTTGTTTACGTAACATACAAAAGAACAACATTAAGTCTTGATAAAACAAGGAAACTTTTTGCTCAAGATCAGGCCATTCAAATTACGACAAGAAAATCATAACAATATAAATGATTCTTATTCTTAATCAGCTTAATGATCTAAAGGCTTATTAGGAAAAATAACCGAAGAATAATCAAAAATATTATAATATTTAGAATAATGTTATTACCTAAAAATAATATTCAGACTGTCAATAAAAATCAAATCTCTACTAACCGATAGTAATTTTATCGTTTGAAATAAATTGTATTTCAAAATGTTTATGAATATTGTTACACTTTAAGACATATTTTTTTCAAACTAAAATTGAAGGATCGAGAAGAAAAACATGATAAGCGCCATTTTACTAATTTTACAGGAAAGCTGGTGATTATCGGGTTCTTTCTGTGTATTCTAGATTTTTACTAGGCATAATATCATAGGATTTAACAACTTATTGCCCTGCAGAGTTTATACATTTTGTAGGGACCAGTTAGACGCTACTATAATATTGTAAAATCCTAAAATTAAGAAATTGGTACTTATCAAGCTTTCCCCTGGATCCTTCAATTATTAAAATCAACATAAAATAATCAACATTTAGTAAAAATATAGTATTTTTATAAACTCACCTCACGTAAAGGGACTTTGAGGGGTATTATCCTTGTTCCCGAAATGCACTTTCCCACAGGCGTGTAATCACGCCACCTACGAAAATACTAACTTTACCACGACAAAAACACTAATTTTATTGGAACAAAAACATACAGTCAATTTTTTTTATTTAAAATGTGAATAAAAATTTAACAAAAAATCGAAACATATTTTCAGCGCTTGTGGCGCCACCTCTGAGAAAATTGGTCAAGCTACAACACCCAAAAAGTAGAATTCTGTAAAAAGATATCTATCCCACCTTATATGGCATAATATTGAAATAAATCCCTAAAATTATTTATTAATATTATTGTTAAGTTCTTTTGTGTGTTTTTTAAATAAATTACTGTTTTAAACATATTTTAAATCAATTTAACATCAATATCTACCTCTTTCGCAATATTCTACATAGTTTTCATCAGCTGATTGTCAAAACATATTTATAGAAATTTGGTCAGAACATTGAAACTAATTTTAAAAACATATCTAATGCTTACCCATCAGGAATCTTATTTCTTTTTGACATAATTTTAACGTTTTGCGCTAATTTTAACCACCAAAACATAAACAAACAAAATTAACAAAAATTGTACACTAGACACTAAAGTAGAAAATTTAAGGTTATGAAAAAATGAAAAGTAATTGCATAGTTGTTCTGAAACTCTGCACTAGGTGGGGCTTAATGATTTATTTTATTTTGCCGGATAATTTTAAAATTTTAGGATGTAATTTGGATAATTAGAAAGCCTTGAATTTCAGTTTATGCAAAAATAAAATAAAATTACTAGGTACTACTAAAAAAGCCTTTATTAACAGTTCTAACTAAATAATAAATATAAATGCGTATAATCTCAAAGACTACAAGAGAAAAAACATGAAAGACAGTCACTTAATACAATATTTTGACTGAATATGCTGATTCTCTGAAATAATCGTTTGTTCACCTCTCAAAAAATTGAGCTGAGACGATATAGGAACATAAATTTTCCCTAGTAAGATTAGAATCTACAAAAGAAAACAAAATTTTGATTATACCTATTAAAATTATAATTTATGTTATTTTATTTAATATATTACAGGCATTACAACATGAACATAATTGTTTTATTACATGTAAAAAATACTGTACAATGAAAACATAACGTGTTTGAGTATTTTATTTAATGAAACTACATCAATAATTAAAAAGGCACCATATGAAGAAAGATATCAGCTAAAATTTTAGTTCAGAATAAAATTTACCCTGTATATAATTTTAACATCACAGTCTAAAATTATTAGAAATATCAACAACTAGTTTGTTTATATAGTCGGTCTCGCAAGAGAATATCTAATTTCGACAGTTAAGAGAAAAAATATTAATATTAGGAAAAAAATATCCTTTCTCTGGGCAGCCTATATACTTTTTATAATTTAGTATTCGCGTTACTTACAATAATATAAATGCAATACAATGTATTCTTAATATAATAAAAACCTATAAACAATAATTTGATGTGATCTTTGTAAAGGTCCTCAGAGACGTACAGTTTTACATTGCACAAGCTGGCCTGCACAGTCAGCCTGCGCTAAAGAACTGAGAGTCTGTGGGCTTTAAGAGACATTGCAAAATATATGATTTAATTTTTTATATAGGTCTGTAATAATTTATAGTTTGATAGTATAAAAAAAATATAATCACAGATATAGTTATGTGCCTAGAAGAAACAAACATACACTTTTGTCACATATATTGTATGTATTACATAAATTGCAATATAATAAATTTAAGTTATTTTTAACTATTCTATGGATTTTTCATCCTATAGTAGATTTTACCAATATGTAACAAATAAAAAACTGTCTAGAATATAAATGTATTACTTATACCGTATGATCGAATAAAAACGGCGTCAGCGATGGCTATGAAATGAAGATCGCTGTCATTTTATATATGTAAAATCTGGAAGTGACGGCAGCCATTTGCTAATACCACTTTACGAGATGTTTTCATACCGTTTTGATGTTTTCTTTGTATTTTCGTTGCGATTTTCGTGAGTTAATTTGTTTATTTGATGTGAATAGTTGAAAAACTTTTATAAACATTGATATTAAGTGTTGAGAATTGATTACTGTTGGCGACTAGCGTATTTGATCGTGGAAAAAGACATATTTTGTAGCAGTGCCAGAAAAATGGTTAGTTGTCTGGCGTGTGTAGGAGATTTCTTTTCACCAGTAAGTATTATTTACTAAATTGCATGGACAAAATAATTTTATTGTCTGTAAAATCTATTGGAAGCGTTTAAATTAGTTAGCAAAATGTTAGGTTAGGTTTACGTTGTTATTATTCTACACAGTGGCGTGTGGTTTCGCATTTTCATTGTATTTTATTTTAAATCAAACCTTTTAAAATATCACCTTTTCTTATAATAGTATATTATTCAACGAGCATATAATGGTGGCTGTTATTCACGCGGATAAGTTTATGACACGAGCCGCCAATAAAGAGGACAATAAAAAAAAATTGAAAATTGTAATAATTTGAGTTTTTTTTTAATTGTTTTCTTCTAAATAAAAGTGGCCATTATTTAGGTGAGTATCACGACGGCGACGTTATGCTTTTAATTTTCACTATTTTTTTTCACTAATATTGGACTGAAATACGATACGACACTGTCAGACCGGAAACGTGGTCGGCCATCTTGAAATACCATTCCGGACTTTTAAGCGATGTGCTTATCCTCCTTCCTTAGTATGTCATCGATCTTCATTTCATAGCCATCGCTGACGCCGTTTTTATTCGATCATACGGTATTTGGTATCAATTAAACTTTCAGTTACGTAATCGAGGGCGCGATTTTTAAATTCATTGTTGCCAACCATGGAAATATGCGACGCCGGGCTGACTAACGGGAATTTAAATTTCGCGCTGAAGATTCAGGTGGTAGCTCTGCTGTAAAAAATGTCAAGTTGCCATATTTATTTATTTATTTCCTGACATTATTGTCATTCGTTTTGACACTTTAGTTTTGTATTACGCGTTTTTGGTTTAAATTAATAGTGTTGTGATACCGTATGATCGAAAAAAAATGGCGTCCAGTTGGCTTGGAAATTACGATCGATGATATTTCCCATATAATTCTACATATAAAATGACAGCGATCTTCATTTCATAGCCATCGCTGACGCCGTTTTTATTCGATCATACGGTACTTTAAGCTTAAACATGTTTACAGTACGTCTGCTGGATCTGTGTCTACGAAAGGAATGCGGACAAAAAACATTTAAATAAACAACAATATATTTTATACGTCGACTTGACGAGTACGTCACCGCAAATCACTCCGCCCGCTCATTTTATTGGCTACTTGCACATTTGTCGAATTTTTATTGATGAGACGCGTCGTCTAATTTTTTACGAAAAACATCGAGAGAATATCGTTTCCCCTCTCACGAATACCCCGTAGCTATAGAACGGACAGACGTACTGTACTAGCAGACCTTGCAGTCGAACATTGTTCTTTTTAGAAGATCTTTTAGTGCAAAGTGTACAAGATCTTAATAGTCGTGAAAATAATCGCAACTTTATTAGAATATTTTGAACGGGAAAGCGATAGTACAGTACGTCTGCCCGTTCTGTAGCTACGGGGTATCCGTGAGAGGGGAAACGATATTCCCTCGATGTTTTTCGTAAAAAATTAGACGACGCGTCCCATCAATAAAAATTCGACAAATTTGCAAGTAGCCAATAAAATGAGTGGGCGGAGCGATTTGCGGTGACGTACTCGTCAAGTCGACGTATAAAATATATTGCTGTTTATTTAAATGTTTTTTGTCCGCATTCCTTTCATAGACACAGATCCAGCAGTCGTACTGTAATGGCCCTAGATTATAATAATTAATTTATTTTTGTTTTCTAAATATTTTGATTAAAAGAAAATATGTAAAAGTGGGCAACGCTGTGCCAGTCAAGTTTAATCACGTGAGTAAAAGTTTATTTGATATATAGTGCAGAGAGAACACTAATAACTAAAGTGAGAGAGACCGATCAACGTTAATTTTTGAAGACTGTGTTAGTGGCGCCGCCTTTGGCGTCTAACCCGAACTATGAGCGTATTATCGATATAGTAGGTTGCATTCATACCTATATACTGGCGCCAAAAATTTAAAATTTGTATATTTGAACCGAATCTTAATCTTTCAAATTTATAATAAGAAATCTTCGTAGTTTTTTTAGATTATTTTGTTGACAACGAACATTTATTATTAGACTTTAAAGCATTAAAACCTATAAATAAAAGACTGTGTAGGAACATAATAATTTATTTAACTCCATACTCCTTGCCATACTCCAACTCAAGGCTGCAATCTTCAGTATCTTTTTTATCTAACTTGGTTGGGAGTGAACAGGGAAGCACGGTTGGGAGCTCGTACAGAGTATCAGTAGGTATCCCGTAGGTATTCAATGTTTTTGATAGTCTTTATTCTATAACAACAACCTAGCAGTTAAAGAAAATAATTTGTATTACTGGAAATAATACCGGGTATAATACCTAGTCGTTCCATAAGTATCAGAAAAGAATGTGATGTTTTAAATTAAAAAAATTAAATTAGCAATGTACGATTATTATGTGCACTCACTATTACTATTAGGTATGTTAAAATAATTACCGAGATAAAACATACCTTTAAAGGAAACGTTTTGTCTGGGTCTCAACCACAAAACAAAAATTACAAAAATGCCGAATAATCGTGGAATCTGAAATAATCAATAATGACAATAATCAATAATGACAATAATCTTCTCTTCTGACAAGCTAAAAGAACAGGCACATTCAGTCAAAAACAATTTATTACTCCGATTTGCTCCGATTATCAACAGATTTTAGTTATCTCCTTCTAGAGCTAAGAAATAGAAAAAGCTACTGACAATCTAATTAATCCTGTCAAATTTTAACTTGCAAAGTTAAAAACTTCCCTTTTGACCGCCAAACGCTATGCGCGCCCTTGGATGCGCGGTGATTTAAAATAAACTTATGTACGAAATGGGCATTCCACAAGCCAGTCAAGTTTAATCACGTGAGTAAAAGTTTATTTTATATAGTGTATTAATACATATGTAAATCCGCCTAGAGTCGTTACGTCACGTTAAAAAAGGAGATTTAACACAAATAACATGTCCAAATCCTCTTCAAAATAAATTAAATGTCAACAACGTTCAGTACTGCTTCAAGAAAAAGATACTCTATGCACTCAGTACTAAATGCTACCTAAACAACTTTCTATATTTCTCAAATATTTTCTGCAAGGTCTCCATCGACCCTAGCGTACTACCTTTCGTACCCAGACACATGTTTCTCTGTTCTAGGTCCAAATCGTCCGAATTACATTTAACTTCGTGAAACACGTGTATCAAACCTGGGTCCACACTTCTAAAGATTCTTCTGGTGTGACTCTGAACCACTCCATCGAAAAATGTGACATCTTCGGTACCCCATCCGGTGATGCTCAGATCAAAACCACCCAAAGCTTGGTAGTCTGCTTTGTACATTGATGCAATACCAAATCCAAACTGTCTCCAAAATCCTCGGTTTGAATCAGTCTGGTTCTCGGTGAAGTATGAAAAATCTACTTTACTATATGATTCGATTCCTATGTCCAAGAGTTTTGGACTATACAAACTATAGACTATCGGAAAATAGACACTCCTGTCTTTAACCGTATTCTTCCGAACCCTCCCCAAGAATTTTTGATCAAACACAATATCAACATCAATAAAAAGCATTAAATCAGAATCACTCAAAGTATTGACTGCTTTCTGTAAGGCACTTGCTCTGGAGAAGGTTTCGTTATACTTCCCCCCATCAATAATCACAATAGACCCGTGAGTCCTGTAATCACTTCTGTACGTCCGTTTAATTCTAGAATTCACTTGATTAATCAGTTTTTTACTTAAAGTATAATCGTGAGGAGAGTCTATACTTCGATATAAAATCACATAGAGTGTGGTAGACTCCCAGTTTTTGATGCACACTTCTTCGTACATTTTGAGGAACCGAACGAAGGTTGTGTGACGACCGCTGAGGGGTAGGAGAAAGTTGATTTGAGATGGTTTCTTGTTGGTGTCGCTTTGGGTGAAGCTGAGTAGAGGTGGCAAGTTGTTGCTGAGTCGGTTGATGAATTGGTTGAGTATGTTCTTGTCTTCTCCGTTGGAGGAAGAGACAAAGTCAGGTGATGAAGGATCTGGAACTTCCCGGATAAAGATACCTGTAAAAATTAAGTCCCTTTTACTAATTTTGGATGCATTAAAAAAAAACATACGGTAATCGCAAAATATTTTCCGATGCACGTCATCAATCGTATTGAAATTGACACTAAAGCCTATAAACCTGACTAAATGAAATTTTGGCAAAAATGTTTAAATTTGTTGTATAATTTAAGATACCGTGCAGCTTTTCATTTTACTTTATAGAGCAAATAATTGTAACAGATATTTTGTTTGTATTGTCGAAAATTAATTTAAAGCGATTTTTATTATAGGCATGTTGGTCACATTGCGCCGCGATCAGCAAGGTTGTCGTTTATTATTTAACAATTATCATAATGTCAGACATTATTTTGTATAATATCGTGTGGTTGTTGAATCTTCGGGAGTAATTCTCGTTTTTTGCCAATTTTCATAGTCTTTTTTTTTAAATTGTACTTTTAAGCACAAACAGTTCTTTTAAGAAAAAAAAATCGAGTTTTTTGTATTGCATTTCTTGAAATTGTGTGTTGAAAATATGCCGAGGCATTTGAGCATTGACAGTTTCACTGTCCAAACAGTGAAGCAAGAAGCTTGTATCTTTCCTGATAACTTTAATAAATAAATTAATCACTAAAATACTAATTATTAAATTAAAAATAAAACGTAAAAATGTTTAAAAAATGATATAATAAATAAATCGTTTCCGAAGATTCTACAATCTGGCAGCCCCAATTTTACATTAAGATTCGTTTCATAAATCCATCACAATCTGGCAGCGCTGTCACCATCGCTTGTCACTCAAAATTGATCACGTACATCGGAAATTGTTTTGCGATTACTATAGAACCCTAAATTTTCACCCTTCTACCATCCACCCCTATTTTTTAATACCGATTTTAGTAATTCAATAATTTTAATTTAACAACAAATAGTTTTTAAACATTGTTAGAATACCTCAAATTAAAAACATGAGTATGATAGGGTATATACCGGGTGTAATGGTTATTTACCCAAATTCAATATACCATTTGCCTGCTAGTAAAGTAATAAAATATGATATACCTGTAAAGGTTTGTTGCACATACGCGTGTCTGCGTACTTGAACCGTCATTTTGTGTCCTCGGTACTTCTTGTAGACCAAAAGTAAGTCCAAAATTAAATCTACGCCATGTAGGGGATCCAGTCTCCAGTATCCGTACAAAATTTCCTTAAAATCTATTATACGGCCTCGTTGTTTTGAAAAAGAATTGATCAGTTCCATAATCTGGAAATTCAAAACAGTTTTATATTGCAAAATAAAATACTAAATCACCACAATACACCAAAACACTTTTACTTTTACACTGGACGCGCGTTTCGCTAACCATGTTAGCATCATCAGCAGATGATTATAAACTAAAGTACAATCTACAAGTTGAGCGTTTATATACTCGCTCAGTGGGCACCGAGTGGGCGTGGCAAAATCTAGCCAACCGAGTCAGAGCCCATTGAGCGTAACAGTTAGATTTTCGCCACTAGAGTAGTAGGAACAAAGAACTTGAAGGAATTGGACCGTTGCCTCTGTTCATACTATCTTTACATTTATTAATTCTGATGCTTTCATATGCATCTAATTGCCTGTAATTTGAGACTTGAGAAACAGTTAAGACTGACTGGTAAAACGATATATGTAGAGGGGGCTTTAGAGATACCAAAATTTCAACTTCAAATATAAACCAAGAAATCATTCATAGATAAAGGAAATAAATTTAGATTGGAAAGCCCGTCAAAATATAAAATTGTTTTGGGTCGCGACCGTTATATGCGATCTGGCGCTGCTATAGCGGTTGCTAAGAACAACAGCCATACAATAACATAAATAATTTTCTCTTGTCAAAGTCAGAATCTTCAAAAATTATAAAATCTTTCAAAATTTCAACTGTCCTCATTGAAAAAATACCGAAAAGTGTTTAAAACATCCATTCTCAAAGTAATTATTGTTATCTTGTGAGTCTAATTTAAATTTTATTTACTCAAACCCGTGATAATTGTGAAAAAGTGGCATTAAAAACTAAAAAATTCAATGTTCCATAGCTATTTCACATAAATATTCTTATATAAAATAAAGTTTCGTGTATGCAACAGACTGTATTTTATTTATAAAATTAAAAGAAAATAATAATAAATTTGAATAAACTTATATTTGGTGAAATTATCAAAAACTTTGGGTCGCGACCGTTGCAAGAATAGCGCCAATAGTGTTTACATTGTCCTTATGGGCACTTTCCAATCTAAACTTAAATCAGCTTAGATCATTGTCTTATTAGTGGTAGACTAAGATGGTAGACGACCTCCGCTGCTAAGATCAAACTAATTTAAATAAACAGAGATGTGTTTACACAGGATTTACACGGATTCTAGCGAACTATTAGCACCATTGATAAAATAAACAAAAGTATCAAATGTACTTACGAATGACGAATGTCGGTATTACGTTGCCATTTCAAGCGCTTAAGTACTTTAAAAAATCGTCTACACAGATTGTTTTACCTGTGTCTTGAAGTTAAGGTAAAAACAACCATTCGATTAACCCTGTATAATAAGCCAAATACTAAAGTCGATAAAAAATTGAGTTTACGAATAATTAAAGTTGATATATTTACATACAGTTTGTTAAAAAAACATCATAAAAAAAGGGCTATAAACAAAAAATGTAACACTGAATTTGACGAAACAAAAATCCATTTAAATTTTATTATAAATTTGGGTATAATCTGTACAACAAATCAGGGAAGATTTAAACAGATGACATCCAAAAAATATAATGTATTTGTTAATTAAAACGGCGTGTTTCTGGGGTCAAAATATACCACCCCTAAAACTCTTTGCGCTTATTTAAGACTCATCCTGTATAATATGAATGAAAACAATATATTTAAAAACTTTTAAAAATATTCACATATCCTGGTAATAAGAAAATGTAGTTTTATTTGGAATATAAATATTTAGAAAAACAAACATTGATTTTTTACCTCTCTAGTGACATCTGCCAGTCCCTCTTTGATAGAGGAACCTATTCTTCTTCTAGGATTCAAATCCCTATGGGAATAAAGCGTTTTCGAAATCAACTCCCATTCAAGAACGTCTTCGAGTTTCTTAGGTTGGTACCTCGTAATACCAACTGGTGTCCCTGTAACAAAACCATTAATATAATAGTACAATATGATCGAAAAAAACGGAGTCAGCGATAGCTATAAAATGAAGTTCACTGTCATTTTATATGAGGAATGTCATTGATTTAAAAAAAAACAAGACAACGATGTCACAACAAGACTTACCCAAAAGACCGGTGTCTCCTAAATACGCCTCTTGACCCTTCTTTACAGGAAAAAGGGATACGTTTGATGTCAAATTGGCTGTCCCTAAACTAGATATCCTATAGCCTAATTGTTTCATTGAAGTTGCTATGTCTCTGTGAAGAAGAATGCTTTGTTGGAGAGCCTCCTGTATTTTTAAGCCCTGAAAATGCAAATTAAAATTATTAAATTTTTATTTTTAACGAAGACATCGAGAAAAGTAAGGATATTTTTCATGTTCATAGTTATCTTTCTCAATTGGAGAATTGTGTCTATAAATATCTATAATGACTTCAATTGATAGAGTTTAACAACAGCATATTTATTCAAATTAACTATAAGTGGAAGGTATGATGTTCAAAAGTTTTCCCTGTAGATACATGAACAGAAGGGATAAAATATTCAGGTAGCAACCAGCTTAAAGAATTTAATATAAACCAATATTTTGATAAAAATCCGAAAAATATCCTAAAAACTCTCATATTTTTTAAAAGATTAATATTCACTATAGTCCAAGAAAGTAGGCCTCTAAATACGAAGTTTTGTTAAAACTTGATTTTTAATATAAAGTTACTTTGAAAAATATAAAAACAAATTCTGAACGATATTTTTAAATTCATCCCCGAGAAGGGGTGAAATAAATAAATAAAATTACTTTTTCGAAATTTTGCAGAAACCGTAAGAACTAGAAAAAAAAGTTCAAAATTAAAAGTTGTGGAGCGTCAAATTTTACATAGAAATGATCTCTATACTTTTTTTGCTCAGGTTAAAATTAATATAATAAGTCTGGACCGGAAGTGGCTGTCTGGCTCAAGTGAAGTAGAATACTAAAAAAAAATTAGAAGTTGCTAAAAAATTGATATATTTAACATTTTTATTCAATTTGTTTGGAAAATTATAAATTCCAATTAAGATTTTTTTAGATTCACCCTGAGAAGGTGTGAAAAATATAAATAAAGTGTTTTTTCCAAGTTTCAGAGAAACGGTAAAAACTTTGAAGAAAATGTTTCTAAAAGCCGTCTCCTAGATTCTATAGGCACCCTATCTCGGTTAAATTTGCTTTGAACAAAAAAAGTATCGAGACCATTTTTATGTAAAATTGGACGCTCTACAACTTTTATTTGACCTTTTTTTTTCTAGTCCGTACCGTTTCTCCGAAATTTCGAAAAAATAATTTTATTTATTTCACCCCTTCTCGGGGGTGAATTTAAAAAAAATCTTTCACAATTCGTTTTTGGATCTTTCAAATAAATTATATCAAAAATTCAAGTTTTTACCAAAACATCGTATTTGAAGGCCTACTTTCTTGGACTACTATAAAAAAAAGAAAATACAGTTTTGAGGAATAGGGAAAAATAACACAAGTTTACAAATTCGGGTCAACTTTTGGACCCGAGCAGATGAGAACGATCCTTAACGTTATTTGATGCCCTGAACTCAGTTGTGCAATCCGTTTGTCAAGATTGGCTCTAGTTTTCGGTGTGGCCGAGTCGTACCCACTATGAGCCAGGACAACAAAATGTGTCCTCTGTACCACTTGTAAACCCACAGGACGTTTTACTGCCACCTCTTTACATTAAACTTGGCCTTATTAAGAACTTTGTCAAAGCGCTCAATCGCGAAGGACCGGCTTTCCAGTACTTAACCAAGTTGTTTCCAAAACTGTCATATGCAAAAATCAAAGAAGGAATATTTGTCGGACCTGATGTTCGAAAACTAATGGCTGACGCAACGTTTACAAAATATTTAACGCTTGATGAGGCAGCAGCATGGGCATCGTTTCAAAGTGTTGTTCACAACTTTCTAGGTAATCATACATCACCGGATTACAAGCAAGTAATCGACAATTTGTTGCAAAATTACCACAAGATTGGAGCTCGAATGCCTCTCAAGATACATTTTCTGCATTCACATCTTGATTTTTTTCCACAAAACTTTGGCGACACGAGCGACGAACAAGGAGAGCGGCTACACCAAGATATAGCGAAAATCGAAAGACGATACCAAGGATTTTGGGTCGAAGGCATGATGAGCGATTACTGTTGGACCCTAATCCGTGAAACAGATTCCAAGCAGTATAAAAGACTCAGTTTAATCTCTGTTCATTTCTGATTTATATTGTTAAATTCAATAAATGACTGTTAACGGTCAAAAATAGTAAAATAATGAATTTATTGAATATTTCGAAAACTAGAACCAATCTTAAAAAATGGACTGCTGATTTGGATTCAGCCCCAAAAATTATCTTAGCAATTGCTTTTAGTTGCTCAGGTCCAAAACCGTGTATACTTGTGTAATTAGTACTAACATTAATTCTATAAAAATAAAATTGTCAATGTTCTTGACAAGATTTTTAACCATATGGCTGTATTCTGTCACTGCATACTAAAAGCGTTCCCATATTAATTTAGCTCAGCAATGACAGTCAATTACCAAGTTTAATAGGCGAGAGATCCTATTTTCAGGTTGACATAATGGACTTATTAAATTAAACGTATTTTAATTGAACGCTTATAGGACACGAAGATTGATTATAGTATAAAACCGTATAACAATGCCTGTACGTAGTTGACAAAGCTGTTTACAAGTATACAGGGTGTAGCATTTTATCTCGCATTTAATTAGGCTTAAAAAGCTATTTTTCAAACTATAATATTTTATAAAAAACGAATTACATAAGGTAATCGCAAAACAATTTCCGATGCACGTGATCAATTTTGAGTGACAAGCGATGGCGACAGCGCTGCCAGATTGTGATGGATTTACGAGATGAATCTTAATTTAAAAGTGACAAACTTTATTATATCATTTTCTAAAGATTTTTACGTTTTATTTTTAATTTAATAACTAATATTTTAGTAATTAATTGATTTATTTGTTTTATAGCTTATTTTACTTATTATATATTGGCAAAAACTCGTCCATTATTATCTTACAACGCCATAACTGGTAATAACAAGTAAGAGTATATTAGTAACAACTAATATAATCACAGGATTTAATAAAAACTAAAGTAGAAATAACTTTGAAAGTGGTGTAATGTGCTTATCCAGGGGCGGATACAGGAATTTATTTTAGGGGGGGGGGGGCAAATAAAAAGTAATGTAGAATATGCTATTTAGGGCGCCATTTTTGACACAAAATCCTAATATTTAACCCAATTTATAGATTTTAGGGGGGTCCCGGGCCCTATCACCCCCTCTGTATCCGCCACTGTGCTTATCAATCAAATTTACTTCTCTGACTGCAGTCAAGGGTAATAAAGGACCTTTATTATCACGTTCTTGTTCAAAATAGTTTATCAGGGAAGCTACAAGCTCTTTGCTTTCGACTTCGGCATATTTTCAACACACAATTTCAAGAAATGCAATACGAAAACTCGAAAATTTAGTTCTTAAAAGAACTGTATGTGCTTAAAAGTACAATTTTTAAAAAAAGACTATAAAATTAGGCAAGAAAAAATGAGAATTACTCACAAAGATACAATAACAACACGGTATTATACAAAATAATGACTGACATTAGGATAATTGTCAAATAATAAACGACAACCTTGCTGAAAACGGCGCAATGTGACCAACATAGTGATAATAAAATTCGGTTTAAACTAATTTTTGCAGCTTTAATCTAAATAATATATCTGTTACAATCCTTTGCTCTATAATTATATTTTTGCCAAAATTTCGTTTAGTCAGGTTTATAGACTTTAGTGTCAATGTCGATCTGATTGATGACGTGCATCGGAAAATGTTTTGCGATTACTATAGATTAGGATTTCTTGCCTCATGATTGATATTCCCTAGCCGTCTTTGAAGCCGTTTTTTTTTCGATCATACGGTATAGTGAAATATAAGCGTATATGAAATATTACGCTGAAACTGCATACAAATTTTAATATAATAATGGATTTCCCACTTACAAACAACTTTACTATGTTTAGTCTATAATTCATATGGTGTTTTCTTCTTAATTACTACATGCATGCAATTAAAAATTAAGAACCTAAGTCTGGTACTTAATATTTCGGTACTATTTATTTGTCTGGCTTGTTTTATACCGCCCGGGTTGTCAACCGAAAAGAGAAGCTGTGGTTTTTCTTAGAATCACATCTGGTACTTCTTAGAAAAGAAAATAAACCTCTGGAAAGCCACAAAATAACGTCATTTCATTTTTACAGACATGTTATGATAGTATTACAAATAAATAATTAAATTTGACAATAAGCTTCATAAAAAGCTTAAAAAATTAATTAATTTTAAATTAATTAACGTTCAGGTTTATTTTTGATTGATGGCCAGCCACCGCTTTTCGGCCATTCTCGTGGTTACCTTTAAAAACATATTAGTACAAAATAATTTATCTGTTCATGATCTTTTTATAAGCCACATTACACCCTTTTTTATTTAAATGTCGTAACTTCGTGTTAAAGTTAAAATTTGCGGTAGCATTCCATTTATTCATAATTGTAACGTATACAGGGTGAGTTTTCTACGATGTTCTCTATGGGTATCTCGGAAACTACTGGAGATAGAGAGTCGGTTAAATGGGAAAAGAATTTAAGTTTTGTGGGGTCATAAATATGCTCCTTTCAGAATTTTGAAGCAGTTCATGGCTTACTAGATATTTCGAAAAAAAAAAACAAATTTCGGCTATTAAAAATTGTCCCTAATTCCATTGGAATCTATTTTAGACAAAGTTGTAGATAATCACATCCATAATAAGACTGTGTTCTCCGTTTTTTTCTAAATTCTGTCATTTTTGACATATGACACAAACATATGTTTTTTTAATGACTTCATAAAAAGCGCCATTTTTTAAGCTTTTCAGCGATATAAGCTGTAATATGTTTTTTTTCGAAAAATGACTGACTTATAGCCAATTCTTATCATTTTTAAACAATCTCACTTAGTTAGCCATGGAAACAAGTTCAATCGTCGTTGCTCTCAGAAATGTCAAACTGTCACATCCAAACTTTGTAAATTAAAATAAACAAAAATTGTAAATACATATGCATTTTTCAAACGAAGAAAAGCGTGTAGGATTATTCATTCAACTTTTCTTGGCCATACATTTTCGAGGATACGTTGACCGGTGAACGTTACTTACGCTTTTTAGGGAACGGTTTTTAAGACATATTAGGAAAGTTTATTTTAGAGACTCGCGAATCAATAGAGTGGTTCCAACATGACTTTCATTATGACACTCCCCTCCATAATGAAAGAAATGTTAAAATTTATTTATATCATAATTATGCAAACTCAGGGATAGGAAGAGGTGGACCAATTGCATGAGCCATATCTATATCCATTTTAGATTTTTTTACGCGGTATTTTTTACGCGGTATGGTTAACAACAAGGTTCACAAAAGAAGTTATGAATTACGGGAGAAGTTTAATAAGGTCGACCCGTCGCGTCGTTCTGTGAGAAAAGCTAGTAATTCAGTTTTAAAAAGATTCATTTATGTACTCAAAACAATGGCGGATTTTTTTAAACATTTTTTAAAATATCTTAAAGTGTATGTAGTAATATTATTTTTTTTTAATTTTAGTTTGTGTAATGTAAATAATTGTAAAGAATCGTTGAATAAAATATTCTGTCTTTTTATACATTATAAATCATAACAAAACAATTGTGAGATTAGTCAAGAAAGATATGAATTGATCTATGATGCTATATGCTATTGATATAGCATTGAATGCTATAACTCAGTAATTTTTCGAAAAAAAAAACATATTATAGCCTATATCGCTAAAAAGCTTAAAAAATGGCAATTTTTATGAAGTCATGGCCAACTATATGGTTTCCATTTTAAAAAACATATGTTTGTGTCATATGCCAATAATGACAGGCTTTAGAAAAAAAAACGAAGGACGCAATCTCATTAAAGATGGGATTATCTAAAACTTTTATCTGAAAACTTTTTGTCTAAAATAGATTCTAATGGAATTAGGGACAATTTTTAAAATAGCCGAAATTTGTTTTTTTCGAAGTATCTAGTAAGAACATGCATGAACTTTTTGAAAAATCTGAAAGGCGCATATTTATGACCCCACAAATTTGCAGTTCATTCCCTTTCCAGAGATACCCATAGAGAACATCGTAGAAAACTCACCCAGTATAAAATTTTGTTACTATAAACACAAAACATTTTTTTTTGAAGTAACGTTTACGCATAGTTTTTCTCATAATTTTCGCCTAATTTCCATAATTTTTATTGACGCTATTCAAATTTTACTGCATTCAAAGAATACGTTTACGCATTTCTATTATTGCTACTACACAACAAGCCTATATGTATATTACTTATCGTATGTTCGATTCCATGAATAATTTAACTGGAATATAAATTGGGAATATCGAAGTTTAAAGCTTTCAAGGTTTTTCGCTTATTTTTAGAATTTTAGGTGAAATGTGATTTCACTTAAAAAAATCTAGCGTGTAGCTCAATTATTTTTTATTGGGTCATATATACAAACGAAAATTGATTTGCCATTATCGATGCAGCATGTGAAATATAAAGTTTTCTTCTGAACATAATTGAATTTTTACTATAGTACAGTCATCGTTCACCTTTAGGTTAACGTTATTTGTCAAATATGAGTTTTATGGTGTGTCTGAGATCAGTTCATATTGTTTAAAAAATTTTAAGTACGTTCCTATATTATTGATTGAGCGAGTTCCGTTTTTTTCGGCATTTATTCATTTTTTCTTGAACTCTTCATCAGTATCAGTTACAATCCCTTTAATTCCAATCCTTTGGACTGTTGAAATTCCTATTTCTAGAGCATCAGCAACTCGCTATATTATTTAAAAAAAAACACTGAAAAAAAGGATCTCTCAGTCGAAATGAATATGATTTTGACCCAAAAGATTGGCGCTTTTCAATAGGGCCAAGAACGACGTTTATGCATCTATTTTACGTTAGAAATGAATAAGAAAGGTTCTGGGTACAGTGGTACTCCCACTAGTACTATATGGCCATCAACATCTGAAGATATGGAGGACTTCTTGTAGTACATGTATAAAAATATAGTCTGGTGTCTCCTATTATGTTAGTTTTTTGTATCAATATGTGCATCTATACACTGAAAAAAAGGATCTCTCAGTCGAAATGAATATGATTTTGACCCAAAAGATTGGCGCTTTTCAATAGGGCCAAGAACGACGTTTCTTTGCCCAAAGCATTAACTATCTTTTCATAAGCCTTAAAAAATTACTTTAGAGAATAGAAGAATCTATCTGTCCAAAGTATTTCACTCTTGACCCAAAATGAATATGCAAAGAAGTTCTTGCTACAAGAACAATAGTCTCTTTGATTCATGCAAAAATTCTTGATTGAAAAGGGACATTTCTTGATTAAAGAGACACTTTTCTTAAACCAATAGCGAATACTATTGGCTCAACTAAAATTTATTTTGATCTAAGAGAAGTCTATACATCATATACAGGCATATTACGAGGTATATTATTTTCTGATAAGTTTAGGTTTTCCTGGTCTGCAGTAAGTAAAGTGATATTATTTTTCTCGATAATAGATATTTCTGCTTATTCTTTTAATTTTGACATTGACCGATGTCCGTCAATAAAATTATAACTCCAAATAAAATGACAATGACAATTACTGAAAAGAATATGTAGTAATTTACGAAATGCCGTAATGACGTCATCAATCTCTTTCATCTGGTTGGCAAGTGATTGAGAGAGTTCGACAAAATATATTTATGACGTGACGTTGAACGATGGCTAAACATTCTATAGATTAGTTTGTTTTCAAGCTTGAATAATTTATTTATATTTGTTCATTTTTAGTTTTTCTTCAGGCAAAATATTTTCTTTTACGCTAAAATAAATTCTCTTGCCACTAAATTTGTTTTTTCAAGAACGATGACGACTTTAGTTTAAGTCCATCTTTTTTATCAGTGAATGAGTTCTTGTTCATTTTGGTTAAATATTTGAGGCATTTTTGCTTAATAATAAAAAAATTGAATTTTGTTTTACAGCAACAAACAAATTTTAATTTTGACATTGACCGATGTCTGTCAATAAAATTATAACTCCAAATAAAATGACAATGACAATTACTGAAAAGAATATGTAGTAATTTACGAAATGCCGTAATGACGTCATCAATCTCTTTCATCTGGTTGGCAAGTGATTGAGAGAGCTCGACAAAATATATTTATGACGTGACGTTGAACGATGGCTAAACATTCTATAGATTAGTTTGTTTTTAAGCTTGAATAATTTATTTCTATTTGTTCATTTTTAGGGTTCCGTACCCAAAGGGTAAAAACCGGAACCCTATTACTAAGACTTCGATCTTATGAACCGTTATAGCTAGACAGTTGAAATTTTTACAGATAATGTATCTATGTTGCCGCTATAAGAGCAAATACTAAAAACAGAATTAAATAAATGTTTATAAATAAAAAAGTACTTTCACTAAGCATTATCTTTTAAGTAAGAATTTTACATAGAATCTTTCCAGTTCTCGGTGGCCGCGTGGTTGAAGCGTTATGACTTTACGCTGCTATGACGTTGGAGCCGTAGTAAGGCAGGTTCGAATCCTAGTCAAGGCGACTTTTTTTATTCGTTTTTTTTTAATTTTTACATATTTTTACATATTTATTTTTACTTTTTACATATTTATTATTGATTAATACAATTTTTAGTAATGTGTTTCTTCATTTTTTTTAATTACTTATACGCGCATTCAAAATTTCAGCTAAATCGGAAAAAAAGTTCATAATAATATAGTGTCTAATGTTGTATAGATAATGAATGGTACGGAACCCTTCGTGCGCGAGTCTGACTGGTACTTAACCAATTTTTATTATTTTTTATATTCAAGGTAGTACTAAAGGAAAATAAAATATACTACCAACCTGCATGTAAGTATGTAACTTATACATATGTTCTGGATTCTTCAGCGGATGTAGAGTTATGGCTTTATGCACCTCCTTGTGTTTTAAATTCCCACCAAATGCGGTCTCCCCACTGTTGTTATGGTAAAATATAACTTGCATCTGAAACCAATAAAAATATTTTTTGAAAATTAAAAAAGAAGTTTTTTTAGATATTTCATTTTCTCTCCCAACACAAGAGGAAACATTTTTTGCTTATTCTAAAATGGTTAATCCCGAATCCCCTTTATATTTTTCCAAATTTCCATACTGTTTTAGAGAAAATGAAAAAAAAAACATGAAAATGTTGAATTTTTAAGGAAGTCCTAAAAATCAAAAGGTGTTTCTATGATAATATAATTTCAATATCATTGTCTGACAATATTATGCGATGAAATTGAGTAAATGCCCTCTATATATCTGTCCCATTGTCTGTAACATATATAATGTCAGATACAAGAAAAAAAAAGTGTATGTATCAAGGGGCGTCCAGACCAGATGAGCGAGCAGTAACAAGCGCGAGCAAACATTTATTCAAATTCGCTCGTGATTTCTGCTGCTCTCGAGCACATGATCAGCTTCCGTCCAGATCTAGCGATTATTTGTATGTTCGGCGTTGATCGGTGTGTGGCACTTCATGTTCATAATGTCGGAAAAAATTATTGCTTGTGCGTCTTTCATTGTATTTTATAAATTGTTGAAATGTCAAAAGAGAAAACGACTGCAGAGGAGATGGTGGAACATAACTTTTTAAAAATCGAGTTTCTCATGGTGGTAACAATTTACTAAACGATGTTGAAACAGAAGATTCTGGAAAATTTAAAAACTTTTGTCGGATGTCACTTCCAGATTTTAATACCTTATTAGATTTAATTGACATAAAAATAATGAAAAGTGATACCAATTGCCGAAAAGCAATTTCACCTAGAGAAAGGCTAGCTATAACCTTACGGGTCTTGGCGATTTTTGTACTTCTCTATTAGTTCTAAAACAACTTCATACGGTCATTCCATTTTTGATATTCGATCGCAAACCGAACGTGCAATACCGACACGGCGTGGAACAGCGTCGAGCGCGAGCAAGCAATCATTCGCTCGCTCGCAGCTCTCGCTCCTGCTCTCTCATCCGGTCTGGACGCCCATTCACGCTGAAATAGTCGAATTCGGGCAATGCCCGAAAAAAAAGGCAAATCTAGTTTTGAGCAAGGAATATAACTAACCAATGAATTAACACCCTCCAAATAACCACTCTAACCAACTCGCTAAATAACTAAACCAATCCAACCAAAAAGAGTGAAACCAATGCAATCAAATCACACTATAAGCAAAAAAAAATAATCGAATACAATTAATTTTTCGGGTTTGGGAAATATTCCTTGCTCAAAACTAGATTTGCGTATTTTTCTCGGGCATTGCCCGATTCGACTATTGCGTGTAATATTATATGCACTATGTGCGCATGGTTGAAGTACACGGAAGGAGATGAAGAGAGAGCTAACCTCCTACTTCATACACACTTCCCAGGTAGCATATCTATTGATACGCAAGTAGCTCCGACCGAACCCCACAATCCTCGCAGGGAAGACTGGGAGACGGCCAAGCTAGTAATAACAGAACAAAAACTGAAATGGGCTATTGACACCTTTCAGCCTTATAAAACAGCAGGAATAGATGGGATTTTTCCTGCCCTTCTAAAGAAGGGTCAGGAAATAGCTACACACCATCTATTAAACATTACAAGAAGCAGCTTAGCGATGGGATATATACCAACCATCTGGAGAAGAGCTAAAGTCATCTTCATACCCAAAATAGGCAAAACTGACTGGGCTAACCCCAAATCATTTAGGCCTATTAGTCTCACATCGTTCATATTAAAAACGATGGAGAAAGTAGTGGACAACCATATTAGAGTAAATCATCTACAGGTTAAGCCACTGCACGATAGTCAGCATGCATATAGAGCGGGCAGATCCACAGAAACTGCTCTGTACCAGTTAACTGATCTAATACAGGCAAGCCTGGATAGCAAAGAAACAGCACTTTGTGCCTTCTTGGACATTGCAGGGGCGTTTGACAATATACCTCACAAGGTGGTCAAGCAATCTCTTGAAACAAGAGGGGCGAACAGTACGATAATTCGCTGGTTTTGGGAAATGCTCTCAACACGAACAGCAGAGGCTGAGATAGGTACCAAAACTGTAGTTGTTAAAACAACGCAAGGAACTCCACAAGGTGGAGTGACCTCCCCCCTACTGTGGAGCTTGGTAGTGGATGAACTACTGGAAGAATTAACTCTAGCGGGAATACACTGCATAGGGTACGCAGATGACATAGTCATCATTGCACAGGGGAAACATGAAGGCACCCTGTGTGATATTATCCAAAGAGGATTCCGCATCGCTGAGAGATGGTGCAGGACTGTCGGGCTGAGTATTAACTCAGATAAAACCGCAGTAGTGCCATTCACCAGAAAGCGAAGTTTGAAAAACTTGAAAAGAATCCATCTAGATGGAAAGGAAATACTGCCATCACAGGAAGTGAAATATCTGGGAATAACCCTGGATAGTAAACTTCTCTGGAACAGGCATATTAAGAACATTACCAGCAAAGCCACAAAGGCTCTCATGATATGCAGAAGACTGGCGGGAAATAGGTGGGGCTGCGCCCCTAACATTTTGCGCTGGATGTATACCATGATAGTAAGACCCATGATTACTTATGGAGCAGTTGCTTGGTATACAAAACTAGAGCAACGTACAGCAAGGCAAACCCTGTGCAAAGTACAGAGACTGGCATGTATCTGCATCACAGGTGCCATGAGAACATGTCCAACAGCAGCAATGGAGGTCATTCTAGACCTAACACCACTGCATATTGTCGTCGGTAGTTATGCCAATGCGACAATGATTAGAATGGTCATTGACGGAAACAGTACTGGGAGAATTTTCAGGTCAGGGGCTTGGAACACCCTCAAAAAGAAAATTCCACTTCTCCAACTCCCAGTGGATGACATACCAAGAATTTACAACTTTGAGAAACACCTCACTGTAGTATTGAGTAATAAAAAGGATTGGAAGAAAGAAACGCTTACTCAGCATATAAAAGACCATACCATCACGTGGTATACTGATGCTTCCAAAACCAAAGCAGGGACAGGGATAGGAGTATTTGGGCCGAAAACTGAATACTCCGAACCAATGGGCACCTACCCCAGTATCCTTCAGGCAGAAATTTGCGCTATCGAAAGATGCGTACAATTTATCTTGGATAGGAACTATCGAAAACAGGAAATTGCCATCCTATCCGATAGTCAAGCAGCACTTAACGCGATCAACTCAGTAACCATCAATTCGAAGTTGGTCAAAGAATGCCTAGAGAAGCTCAACAAATTAGGCAAAGAAAATAAAGTCCTCCTACTCTGGGTGCCTGCTCACCAAGGGATAGAAGGCAATGAAAAAGCAAATGATCTAGTAGGAAAGGAGCGAACACTCCACTAACTGGACCAGAACCGTTCTGTTTTCCAAACGGGAACCAACTGAAAGCGGAACTGAAGAATCTGGAAGACTCCATCCTTAACTTGGAATGGGTGTCCCAACGGTCTAAGACACTCGAAAAAGTTCCTTAGAACTTATGACCGAGAAAAATCAAAGGTTTTCCTTGATTTAAGTAAAAACAATCTTCGGATTGTCACGGGGTTTCTAACAGGACACTGTCTCCTCAACGAACACCTCAGTAGGCTGAAACTGAGAAACAACGGCGAATGCAGATTTTGTGGGGAAAATGGGGAAACACCAGAACACCTTATCACTGAGTGTGCCGAGACGACGACCATTCGTGCCATGAACCTTGGCACGTCTGATGTCGAGGATGGAGAGCTGGCATCTGTGGAGCCGTCTCAGATACTGGCTTTTCTTAAAGCCCTGAGACTGTATGATGAGTTATAACTCGTTATAACTCAAGAAAGGGGAACACACAATAGATCTATAAGGTCGCGGTGATTAACTCCCCTTCTAAACATTCTACATTCTACATGGTTGAAGTATTTGATGTAAAACTTCTTACTCACAGCTATTAAATCGGAGTGCAGTGCATATAGCAAAAATGAATCTAGGCTATTCAGTCTATACAAATCCAAAGAAAAAATAAACAGTATCTGTTTTGGAGAAACAAAATGATCTCCACTATGTAGTGTAGATCTTAAAAAAATAAACCATTTGTCGTTTTATGTTGAATTTACGGCTATAGGATTTTTAAAACCTGTAGGGTACTAAAATCATATGTTTTAAACATTTCCTACATTTATTGATTGAATTTGCTTATGTAATTAATCTCCTATCGATCGAATTGTGCATATTTCGCACATTTCACTGGATACTATCCTCATGTTTATTATTGTAGTATTTGTACGAACTATAATACCACTGTACTACATGTACCTGATATAATAAAATTGTGATTTGTTTATTTATACAGGATTGGTTAAACTAAAGCTGCTTCCTCGTATAAATAAATATTGCTGAAATAACAGGAATCGCATCAGTAATGTTAGGAATATTTATATCTAAATATTTTTCCGATAGATGTATACAGAGTATTTCAAAAAACATGTGCCATCTCTTGTATCTTGATATTTTGTCGATTCCAGTCTCCTTGACGACGTTTTTTTTTGAAAAGTTTACAGGTTACTATTCAACTTGGATTAAAACAAAAATTAATAATTTTTTTTTAATATACAGGGTGCTAAAACCTCAACCCCACCAAAACCAGGGGTAAACCGCAGAGAGAAAAGTGTACACCGTAATTCCTTTTACTCAAATAATTCCTGAGAATTCCTCGTAATTCCTTCGGAATTCCTTGGAATTCCTTGGTCTTCAAGGTCAAGGCCAATCATTCAAGGTCTTCCTTGGTACGAATTCGGTAACTCTTTCAGTCCGAACCAGCGTTGCCACCTCGGTTTCGCAGTTCCGCAATGAATTTTCTCGTGATTTTTATAAATGTCTAACGTCTCTATAAGTACTAGATCTAACAATAAAAAGTACTATTATGAAATTTACGTTTTTTTAGTTAAATTTTAGGATTAATAGGGGATCATGAGGTGAAAATACTGGAAATGTGTCGGCACTT